CATTCATTAGTCTCCAAACCAGAAACAATGCCTGAATGAAGCAGTGTCTAGAAATGCTATTTTTAATTGGCTAAAGAGGTTGCTTGACCTCTGGTAGCTGGTTACTGTTGTTGGGGAGACTCTCCATGAGGGGTGGCGCATTGTTTAAACATAGTGGGACAATGGTCTCATGTCATCTATAGGATATGGAGACACCAGAGTTTTGTGTTTCTTTTACTTTATTACTATACATGTGAGGCACAATCGACAAAGACTTCCTGAGGATGAATGTTGCCAGTATATGAAACACTGAATAACTGCTTTTTGTTTTGCTGAATGGTCCTCTTTCTTTCAGTTTTAAAAGGGAAAATACAGAAAAAAATAGCTCTGGGGAATGGAGTCTTGCATGCAAGAGTTTTTTTAACAGGAGGACTTTGGGCTGCATTGAGATCTTACACTAATTTTATACGAGTTTGACTTTGTTGACGTAATCTGAATGTTTCCTGGTTTACAATACAGTGAGAGAGGGACTGGGCAAATTAATAGGAGCCTGAATTCCATGTTACTTCCAAGGTCAGTCACCTGGATCCTGAATACTGCCAGTGTTGGGATTGATTTTTTTCTGTATTTTCACTTTCGCTCATCATGACCTCAAAACCCAAGAGAGCCTGCTTTAATTCTAGCCTTTCTTTCTCATTCCAGTCCCAAGGCCTATGTGGACAGTAATAGGTGTTTGCGTAGTATAGGCGACTGCTCCCAAAATAGCCAGCATTGAAAATCGTCTAATTGGTTTACTGTCAGCAAGAGAGCAACAGAGTCTGAAAGCCTTGACAAGTTTTACCATGTCTGAGTTTGTTCTATGTATGTGCAGTTGCTGTTAAAGAGCTTTATGAGCTTTTATTAATTTTAGTTTTATTGATTTATTAGAATTATTTTAGTTAAAAGGTAAATGAAAGGAGAATTTGTCAGATAATTGTTTCACTACTCACTTATGTTGCGAGTCATTCATCCCTACCAATGGGCTGATGTCTTGGATGCCAGCTGTGGGCACAACAAATGAATGAGAAGCAATAGTGTTAATGTTTGTCCCATGTGCAAAAACTCATGCCCCATTTTCAGATTCCCTTTATCAGACTCCAAGGGTGGGATTCAACTGACCTAAATTTCTAATATCTTCTAAAGATATTTGGCATCCTATCTAAGCTACTTGTCCAGCTTCCATCTGCCCTCCACATACTGGAGCAAGCTATGTCCTCCGTCTTGATCTCTTAGATGAGACTCTTAACTTCACTCTATTGATTATTAAAAAAGCCTATACAATTAGTTTAGACTAGATGCTTACTTTTTATACAGCTGAATGTAACCATGGTAAATCTCCTTCTAATTTTTTCTACTTCTCCCCATCAAGGCAGTGTTTTCAGCTCCACACACTGCGTAGCTGGAAAGTTAACCATGATTTGTTGCTCAGGGCTGTTCTGCACCAATCCACCCAGACACTGGCATTTTTTGGCACAGATCTCACACCACAGTGCTGAGATCAAATGCCATGGCTTATGCAAACATTTATGCAGGACCTTCAGCATCAAATCAGTACTGCTATGGCTGGAGACAGTGGGCACAAGCTGAACGAGTTACTTAACAGCAAGCAGAACTAGTTACATACTTAAGCAGGTGCATAAACTTTGGCAGGATCAAGGCTTAAATAATAATCACCTCGAGGCAAGAAAATGTTCTTCTTTTGTTTTCTTTGCAACACAAAACTTGCTATTGTCACTTAATTAACTCGCTTTTCAAACTGATGAATGATGAAGTAACTTTGGAAACGTTACAATCATGGCATCACATAAAACACCTCAGTGCTCTCCTGAGAGAGGTGAGAAGGTTATGGGCTGGCTGTTCTGCTAAATGAGGCTACTCAGTGATCACAGCATGTGCTCCAGAGTCTGCAATGTCAGGTCGCTGGAGCACAGCATGACTGCTATTAAACTATATGGGCAGAGTCCTACAATGTGACTTAGAGTTGCATCAGGTCTGAAAACCTTTCATATTTCCAGAAGGATCCTTATATAGGACACCAAGGATACATGAGGGAGCTGATCTTTAAAGGCTTGTTGAATTGAATTGCTTGTTGATTCTCCCCCTTCTACTCTGCTCTCATGAGACCTCACTTGGAGCGCTGTGTGCAGTTCTGGTGTCCTCAGCATAAAAAGGACATGGAACTGTTGGAACAAGCCCAGAGGAGGGCCACGAGGATGATCAGGGGACTGAAGCACCTCCTGTATAAAGACAGGCTGAAAAAGTTGGGGCTGTTGAGCCTGGAGAAGAGAAGGCTGCGTGGAGACCTCATAGCAGCCTTCCAGTATCTGAAGGGGGCCTATAGGGATGCTGGGGAGGGACTCTTCATTAGGGACTGTAGTGATAGGACAAGGGGTAAAGGGTTAAAACTTAAACAGGAGAGATTTAGGTTGGATATGAGGAAGAAGTTCTTTACCATGAGGGTGGTGAGGCACTGGAATGGGTTGCCCAAAGAAGTGGCAAATGCTCCATCCCTTGTGGTGTTTAAGACCAGTTTGGACAGGGACTTGAGAAACCTGTTCTAGTATGAGATGTCCCTGCCTATGGCAGAGGGGGCTGGAACTAGGTGATCTTAAGGTCCTTTCAAACCCTAACTATTCTATGATTCTACGGAAAAGAACAAGAAGAGCATGTGAAAACTTAGGGAAAACACATCTAGATCTCTTTCTTCATAGCTTTAATACAGCATGTAAAATGACTGCTCATTCTAGATTACTGTTGCAGATTTCTCTGTAGATGCAGCAAGAGGCAGTTCTTAAACAGAGACTGGTTACACAGAATATTAGAGGGTATTTTCAAGAATATTAAAAATGCCACCAAACAAAGATCTTGTTCACTTTCCCTGCCCTTTCTGTGACGAATGACTGCAGTAAAAGTGAACTCCTGCTTTTCCTTATTTATGAAACACCTCTTCCCTTTTGTATGAAAAACTGATTTTCCTGTGCTTTAGAAAGTGTGTAAGTGGCAGTTGAAAAAGCAGGCAAAGGCTGCATATTAGAGTGAAAGAACAAGGCAAGTACTGAAAAACAAAAAGCTATTCAGTATTTTTTTCTCCCCTAAAAGAAAAGGAATGAAAACTGCCATCAGACTGAATTGTTCTATCCCTGATTGCTGTGTGTAGCATGATGAAATAAAAAATGCATTTCCATTTTAGCTTTCGCAGGCAATATATGCTCTCAAACCTTTTGGTGAAGAACTGATTTTCAAAGCAGCATATTTCTGTAGGCTGTCAGTGATCCAGCAGAGCTCTCACACTGCTTTGACTTTTCCAGCTCCCTAGTGTATCAGACCTTTACAATTCTTTCTAGGATCCCAGCAAACTTAATAATATAGGCAGACTTCTCCACAGATTGATTTTGGATTTACAAGGCTCCTGGCTGCTTGCTTGCATAGATGTAACCTACAGACAGAATCTACACATCAGTCTTGAAAAAACACCTCATTTAGAAAAATGGATTTTACTCATTAGCCTCTCCACAACAGAGACTGGCAATCTATCATGTTTGGCCATAAACATTTATTCAGGAAGGAACTGGCCTTAAGTAAGTCAGTTTAAATAAGATCAGCAAAACCATCTCCAGTAGTACCATCTAGTGACTCCTGATCACATATGAGCCTAAAATGTTGCAAATATGAGTCAGGTTAAAAAAAAAACATGAGAAAAACAGCATGAGCAAGCAAATGCAAGACTATTAAGTTAGTGTATCTTGCTGCCTGTAGGATGGAGAAGAACAATAAAGAGGAACACATAGCTAAGCAATTACTAAACTCGGGGACTAACTCAGGATTCTCGTTAAACCACAGCCATTTACCAACACTACCCTGCCCATTCTTACATCTGGTTTTGGCATAGTCCTCATGCACTGTCCAGGTACTAATACAGGTACCGAGTTGAAAGATGAGTGCAGAGATGAGCATCTTATGTTCGCTGTAGTCTGACCAGCACTGAACCATCCCTTCCCTGCCTGGTGAGCTGTCATAGCAATGTGCACCTTCCTGAGATTACAGAAGAACCCATGAGAGCAACCATTGCAATTTTTGTATTTTCTAAGCCATTGGCAATATTTTGTAGAATTTGGATTTTTATATGCAAAGAGGTAAACTTTTTTCCTTTCCATGTTTATTTGTCCTTTTCTGCTATTGAACCCTTAAACGACAGCCTGTAGCAACTGTATCGAGAGTAACGAGAAGGAAAGGTAAGTTACACGGGACACTGTACTCATTTGGGGAAACAACTTAAACAGTTTGCTTATAAATTCTTGCAAAGCAATTAATTTTGCTGCTGGCATGCATCATTAGGTTCAGTTTCATTTCACTGACTGCAGTGCCATTCCTACTCGGTAATGAGCATCTGAGTGATGCATCACAGGATCTTTGTATCAGGCAATGTTGACAAATAAATGAATTTGCTGATTTCTGCAGCATTTAAGCCTTTCATTCAACCCTCTAATCTAGAGACAGGTGATTTCTTAAAATGGGTTTACATGCTAGATAATATGAACAAGCACTTAAGTGATGGCAGAGACAAGATCTCTATAGAGTCAGAAATTAATCTAAAAAATGAATAAGGTGAGACTGTTTTTCCCGCTTCAAAAATATTTCCAATTAGTTTAATAGGATTTGATGTGATGTTTTACAGGTTGATGAACAAGTAGCTGAATAGTTTGCGCAGCATGTGTTTAATCCTGTCCTGAACATTTTTGTTTGCATTAAGCAGCTAGCAGAATGTGCATCAGTCTCCTCATCACCAGCATCCATTCTCATACTCTTTCTTTTCTTCTTCTGGCAAAGTGTTTTTTCACATGCTCCCATGAGCATCACTAATCCTGGGCTGTTTATGTGTGGAAACTAAGCCCAGCCTGCAGTATTTTATCAGCCTGTGCCGAGACGATGAGATGATCACCGTCTCGTGGGAAAGTAATACCATATACATTGTGCATGGAGAGGAATTCCACTGGCCAAGGATGGAGAGAAGACAATCTTTCCCTGTGAGCACGAGGCAGCCCTCAGATTGTGCATGCCGTGACCTTGAAGACCAGGCTTAAGCACCTGCTCTGGCAACTAAATTCCAGAGATCAGTGAGCTATTCAGGTGGTCTGGTATAAATGTCAAGCTCAAGTGGTTGGCTGAAGTCCATCTCAGATGTTTCAGCATGGTTTCTGCTTGTAAGATCCCTAATGTGGCAGTTTGGGGCAGGGTTTGTTTCTCTCGTATTTCCAGACTGAGTCCTGGCTTCAAAGCTGTGGACAACAGGGACTCTGAATTACTCCTTGACCTTTTCTCACACAGTAGGTGACCAGAAGTCAGAAGTCTCATGGGGACATTGTCTTATTGCATGTAACCTTTTCTCATTGTCACAGAGTTTGTGTAAGGTGGAGCAATGTGTGATGGATGCTCTTGTCTCATATTGATCAGATTATTCTTACAACAGAGTCTGGGCTTCCACTTTTCCCTACTGGGGAGCAGCATCTCCTGGAGAGGCCAAAGAAAAGGGCTGATCAGACAGGTGAACAGAAAAAAATACAGATATCAAAATATGTATTTATAAAACCATATGCATGTGTGTACATGAGTAAAGGCAGTTGTTTCTTTTTCCCCAATTTCCCTGCCTGGTGCTTGGTCCTCTGTGCAGTTCAGGTTGTTGGAGAAGTAATTGGCTTGTTTGGTGGGATCTTGTAGCGAAGGGCATTTGGGGTGTTTTAGTTAAGAGTCCAAAGCCCTTTGGGGCCTCAGAGAAGTCTTATGGGTACTCTCACTTGCTGTACAGAATCAGATATGTGTGCAAATAAACCAGAGAAGGATACAGTTGCTTTTATGATTGGTTCGGAATAGAATAGAGAGTTTCTTTGTCCCAAACCCCCCTACAGGACGGGTTTGTTGTTGTTCAAGCACTTTTGTGAGCAAATGAATGTGTTAAATTAGGTCCTGTAGAGACTTGTTGGCAATTTTAAAGACATGGCATAATGAAGCTTGCTTCCAACTCTGCAGGGATAGCTTCTTTTGTTAATCTACCAAATTAAATATTGGGTAGACTTGTTTCGTTAGCAAATGGGAGATGAGATGCCAAGAGTCTTGTTCTTTTACCCTCCTGCTCTCAGCTCTGTGACCAACCTCTCTCCCCAAAAGGGGAACCAGAATTCTTTTTCTGAGGGGTCATTTATAAACATGTTATGAGATGCGAGGCTGTTGCAGACCAAACACCTCCCTTGGAAAATACTGGCATACATTAAAAACAAAACAAAGCCAATAAACCAAGCCAGAAAAAAAACCCATCTGTTAATTTCTTAGCAGGTTTCACATTTGTTGCAAGCATGCTGATTGAAAAAAACTACCCCAACAACATAATCTCATGTAGAAAGTATCAGTTCCCCAATTCAGAGAGAAGTCTTCTGCATCAGCTTTGAACACTTAGAAGTGGATTCCCTTCAGAAGCCACCTGAAAGGTCAGTGTTTACCTTAAAATTCAAATGAACTACAAATAAAGGCAAGAGCAGAGGGCAAGTCATTCCATCTACTCTGGCAACTGTCTTTGGATAGATGAACCCCATTTTGGCAAGCCACCTCTTCTCTGACCAGACAGGTGGCCAACATGGCTAGCTTAGATTAGATGCTGGACTCCTGAAAAGCTAAATCTAGGTAATAGGAATCCCAACCTTAACATTTTAATCTTAAGACAAACTGAGTGGCTCTGGGCCCACCAACACAGGCTATTGTCCCTTTTCCAAAAAAACAAGCACTTTATGCCAGATAAATTTTAGAAGTGGTTGCCTCTCAGCTGAGATGTGGCACTGTAGTACTCCTGCTGCCAGAGCATTCCTGCTCTGCTGATACACAGAAAAATACCTCCTCAGCTGCATGCTGAGCAGTGAGAAGCCTCAGGCTGAGAACAACAGAATGCTCAAGTGATTTTGGCTAGTACATCTGAATAAAAGAACCTTCGTAATATTAGAACAACAAAACACTTAACTGCTCTTAGAACAAACCACTTTATGCACAGTAGCAAAGTGATCCTCGCTAGAATGCAGTGGTATCTCAACAAGGGATCCATGCCTAACCTTTCCAGCATTAATCACTGGAAACTCCCACGCCACCAATGTGCTTTTACTTGTACGCTATGGAAATAATGGTCTCATCTGTACACACGAAGTTAGGGGAAAGGCAATGGCACAGAGCCCTGGGTAGCTTGTGCATGCTGTATAGTGAAAACTGGCAGTGTCTCCTTTTACAGGAGCTAAAATACTCTGCTCAAAAATAAGGACAATAAGAAACAGTTGAAAGCCACTTCTGGTACCAGTGTATTTACTGGTTCTCACTTTGAGACCCGAAAGTGCTTCTGCCTTTTAAAAATCTAAGCATACACAAAGCAGAAAATTTAATTAGTTAATTCTGTAATGAGACCCAGACGCAGGAACCCATGAGGATTTTCTCTTCCATGTTCAACTCCACATTTCACACCCAGAGAAACTACACACTGGCTTTGGCTCCCAGCACCATCACTGAACGCCTTCCAGCTTGGAGAGGAGAAAGCCTTCTCTGGTTACCTTCAGGCTTGTCCTTGGGGCAGAGGAGGAGAGGGAAAGGACAAATCTGCATCAGCATCAGGAAAAGACCAGTGTCTGAGCTGCTTGCTAGAAAGTGAGCTCACAGAACTAAAGGTGATGCTGGGGTTTCCATTTACCAAAATGTAAGTGCCTGCAAAACCATTTTGCTCTCTGGAGACAGCAGCAGAAGGTCCATCGCTATTCCTATGCTCCTTCAGGGGTGCTCTATGAAACAGAGAAGACAGCAGCAGTCAGAGTAAATATTAACAGTCCTGCTCACTGCCGTATGCTTCTGCTCCAGCTTTTAAAGCACAATGAAAATTGTCTGGCTCTGCTCATAGATGCAACAAAAGTCATGGATTTGATGGAGAATGAAGAAAGAAAAAGTAACAGTACCCAGATACAGATCCCTGCAGGCACAATGCTTGCTAGAGATGTGACTCAAGTAGCTGCTCCCCTCCCTGGTTATTTCCAGAGCACATGAAGTTTTTTTTCAGGTGAAAATGCCACTGGTTTGTTTGATTTGTTGACAGCCAGTACAAACCAAGGTTATCCATATCTGGATGGACTTACTGATATGCCAGGCTTCACACTTGTAGCCCAGAGCCCCAATACCCTCATCTTCCTCTTGATTTGTCACAGTACATCAGTGACAGGGAGGAGACAAACTGCTTTCAGAAAAGGAGTTGGGCTGAATCCAAAGGTGAATGCTGGTTTTATGTGAGAAGTATTTCACACAGAGTCAAGAAGAAAATGATCTGAAAAGCCTGCAAAATTTCTGGGGCACTGGTATCAGGTGCTGGAAGCACCTACATGTTTTGGAGTGACTCTGCCTTTTTGAGAGCAGGAAGGAAGGAAAACATATTACTTCTTTACCACAGGAGCATCCTGCCCCAATACCAACATCTTCACAGAGAAATGGTCCTCACTTGATTTTCATCTTTGTGTGTGGTACAGCGTGTTCACAGAGGGAAAGAATACAGCCACAAGGCAGAAGATCATCAGCATACTGAGGCACTGCATAAGAGCGCTCAATGTGAGGTTACTCCATTACTTGCAAAAGGCTGTCCTGGCTGCCAGAGCTTGCCAGGTAGCCAGGGCAATGGGGAATGAAGCTAGGATAAATGTAAGCTTCAGCAATGCAAATAAAGGCAAGAAACTCTAGGCTCTTTGCTCAAAGCTGTTCCCCCTCCTTCAGTATTGATGTCTTCTGCCATGTCACCATGTGCCTTCTTTGCGACACTAAGGGAAGCTGGCGGAGGTGATTTTCTTACACTTCTGGAACCTTTCTAGCCTGAACAAAAGACTTATTACTTCTGACATTGGATTCCTGTGTCTGATGAACCCCTGACTTCTCTAACTTGAATAAGTAGTTTAATTCATAGCAGAGCTGATTTCAGTTGGTGGTGTTGAAGTGCTGTCAGCATGGAGTCATTCAGCACAGGATAGGAAGGTGACCAGGGAAACCAGAAATTAATAGTGCTTTCATATGGCTTTCATAGAAAAGTGTGAACAAAGAGAGCCATAAATGAAGAGGAAATACTGCAGTGTCTGTATGGAAAGGGTTCCTGAGTCCATTTACTCTCTAGTTCATGATATTTGCTTTCCATCACCGCCCCTCTTTACTGTAAAATAGTAACTTTTCATAAACCTCTTCATTTATATTCCACATCTATTTCATTCACTCAGACAACTTGCAGTAACTTGGATAACATTTAGACAAAGAAAACAACCTGAATAAGATCAAACATTCTTTTCTTTCACAGACACTTAAAAGCAAGCCAACAAAAAATATGAGAAATACATGGTTAGTTTCATCATATGGTCTTTATTTTGCTGGACTACTAAATAACAGGGATCCTAGAAGAAGACATTATATAAATCCTGTGTGAACATATGGCATTTTTTTCCCCCTTCTGAGATTGCAGGCTGAATCTATGCAATCAGGTTAACAAAATGAGCCTTGTCGTTTGAGGAGCAGCGCTTAATGACAGTTGTCAGTTATCACTAGGTACCATACTCAAGGGACATCTTGATACGTCTGTGACAGACAGATTAGATATTGTCTGGAGAGGGTTACGTGGCAGCTGTAAGAAAGCTCTAGCTGAGAGGAAATGAGGATTAAAAAAACAGAGCAAAGGAATCAGATACAGCTTTTCCAGCCCCTGGTCTCTGGCACAGATGATCCTTCTGCTCAGGTATGGGCCATGTGTGTCTGAAGCTAATGGCTGAATGGGAGATGGCTGCTGCCGTGGTTTAACTTCAGTCACCCAGAATCACAGCTTTGTTGTGCACAGACCTGAGCAGATGTAAACCCTTTCTTCCCCCCAAATAGTTTGCAATTTAATAGGTTTACCTTTCTATTCTTTATACTCTTTTACACAAATGTAATCAGCACAGCTATGCCCGAGGCAGAAAGAGACTGAAATCATCTGGCACTTGTGACTTCCATCACCAGCAGCAGAAGTTAGAGGAGGGATGCTGCTGCCTTATCCTTGTGCCCGGTGGGGACTTGTTCAGTGCTGGCAGACGTCAGGGGCTGGTGCAGAACCCTGCTCCCACCACCAGCCTCCTGCTGCTAGAGACCCTGCAGGCATCTCTGTGGCTCCTGGTGCAGGTGTGCCTGCAGGGAATGCCTCCCAGACAGCACTTTGCCTCACTCATTCTTGTAAATTGGCCATGTGGAAACAAAAGAGATGCAGGGGTCAGCTGAGGAGTGTACACGCACACTGCTCTCACAAAGATGTGCTGTATATCCACGCATGACCAGAGACTGAGCCTATCAACCAGAGAAAAGGCTTTTAATGCATTTCTAGTAATAGCCACAAGGTCATTCAATGTGGGTACAGGCAGCAGGGGATGGGACTTGGAGCCTCTGCTGCAGAAGTCCTTCATCTTTTTTCAGCCAAGGGTCAAACAAGACTGCAGAAAGAGAAAGACAAATGGGACACGAGCCCCAGAAGACCTGAAGCAGGAGGTCAGCAGAGGCTTGCTGAGGCAGCAGGTTGTAGTACACATAACACTGGTCACATAAGGCTGAGCAGTTGAAACTGCAGTGCTATGGGGCCCATAAAACTGCTCCCCGCTCCCTCACTGGGATGGTGAGGATGATGAATGACACTGGGTCCATTCTGCAGGATGCCTGGCCTCAGAAACACCACCCTGCTCCAGGATATTGCTGGTACCTCCTAGCAAACATGAGACCCCCAGAGGGTGCAGCCAGCATCTCCCACAGCAAAGCTGCTCCCCATGTACCAGCCCTCTGCTTACAACAGTTTTCTTGTTCTGTGAAGTCAAGATACTCCAGGATGATTCACAAGGTGCAACACACCCAACTTAATGCCTTCAATTCTTGACCTACATGTCCAGAAAAGCAGATATGAACAGACACACTCCACAATACTGAAAATCATGTAAAAATAAAGTAAATAAGTGACCTAGAACTGTAGAGGAAGCAAGAGAAAATGTACGGTTTAAAGTTAATTAGCCCTTGAACCATCAGGCCCAATTACTGCCAGCAGGCTCTGACATTTCAAAGATTAATTAGGGAGTCAGCTGTCACGTCTCGCAAAGGACCACCATCATGCCAGGGAAGAGCTACCTGCTCTCTGCACACCAAGTCATGAAATCCCACAATGTCAAATTATATCCAAAAGCTAATTGAGGACCTTTGGTAAAAGCTTTCCAATTACTATATTCATTTTGAGGAATGCAGTGTATTTATAGGCTGAAATACAACTGGCTGCTCTGAGAAAAAGCTTTAACTCACTGGATGATGATTTTAAATACTTGTAGGTGCTGCACAAAAGGCTTCTATATTCCTCTGCTTCTTTTGCAATACTCTTGTTGCATCAGTATAGATTATACTATAGTGCTCTACCGGGTATATGTCAATGATTCAGTACATGTTTGCTCCTAAGCAGATGCATGCATATTACTATGTACCTGTCCCTGAAATTAGCCTCCCAAACTGTCTTTGAGCAGCAGAAATGCAGCTTCCCAAATTCGAGTCAGCAGTGTGCCCCTGCAGCAGCAAAAGCAAGCCCTTTCCTGGGCTGGAACAGTGAGGGCATAGCTGGCAGAGCAGGGAATAGGTTCTTGCACTCTTCTACACAGTTCATGGGCCTTGTCCAGTTTTGGTGTCTCCAGATCAAAAGACACATTGGAAATGGGAGAGCGTTCTATGGATGCTTACCATGATGCTTAACAAGTTGGGAAATTCAGTATAAGGCCCTGCTTCAAAGGCAAAGTCACACCAGGTAATTTCCAGCAGCTCCTTCCAACCTGATCTTTATAGGATGATCTGATTTTCAACCCTTTGTTCTTCCCCAGGATAGACCAGCTCCCTGCAGAGATGGAGGGAGAAGTGATGCACTAAGATTGCTACTCCTTGGTGCAGCTCTTTCTGCAGCAGTGAACAAGAATTGCACCTGTGAGTCTGTCCATGTAGTGCCATGAAAAACATTGCTGTAAGCACCTTAGCAGATAAAAACCCCTCCCTGCCTCACAGCAGCTGAATCGTAAATGCCAATGTAGTGAATCATGGAAAAGGTCCTTCAGAAGAAGTGGAACAAAAACAAAAGAAAGGAAAAGGAAATGAAATCTTGGTTTAGATACAAAATGGTTTCTGGCTTGCAGCCATCTGGGTATTTTTAGTATGTCCATCAATACAGTCTCTGTGTGCAGCAACTGACTGATCTGTGACTGTATTTGTGCTTCCATCTCTCCCCCAGTCACCAGAGTATCTTTGAAAGAATAATTTGGTCATAACCAGTTTTATTTTCCTCCTTTTCTAAAGGTTGGACTTGATGATCTTTTCCAACCTAGCTGATTCAGTGATTCTATGATCATCAGGGGATGCGTACTATTTGAAAGCTGAGCTGTGGAGAGGTGGGACCTCTTGCCTGGGAATGTGGTAAATGCTATGAGCAATGAGATAAAGTGGAGGATGTGCCTGCTGATTGCAGGAGTTCAGAGTAGATGACCTTGAAAGGACCCTTCCAACCCAAACTATTCTATGATTCTCTTGGGAAGTGGTTATCTCTGTGGTCCTTTTGGCGTCTGTTGGGAGGGGGCTTCCATGGCCATGGAAGAGCTGTGCACAGCAGCCAGCCTCCTGCACAGGCACCTCAGCCTTATCACAAAGAGCTCATGGGCTGCTGCTGAACTTACTGCCTAACCCTTGCCACCAAGATAGAACTCAACGATAAGCTATCTGATCTTATCTAGCTGAGGTACATACCTACAAGCCAGTGTAGCTGCTCTCCTACCTGTGATAAAATGACCTGTTATCACATTCATGCAGTTCCTGAAGCTGGGCTGGCCAAACCTTTGCAAGCCCACAAGGTACACCTGAGAGTCTTCACACAGCCAAGAGCCACCAGAGATGCTGGGGAACTCTGCATGTGTGTGCATGAGTGGGCACACAAATATGCTGGGGTATCCCTGAGCACCAGGGTATCCCAGTGTCAGGAGCTCCTTCAGCTCCCCTGGGTCAGGCTGGTCCTCCCTGATTTGGCATCTACCTGGAAACAAGGTCCCTGATACTGTGCTGTAGGAACTGTTCCTTTCCATGAATATCTTAACATAAAAAGGGATAAGCCAGCAGAAGAGGTAGTTACTCCCAATTCAAAGGCAAGGTCCTGAGGAGGTTAATGCTAGGATGAGTCCTAGCCATATTCAGCCATCTCAGACTTAGGTAGCAAAACCAAAGTGAGAACCTCTCTTTTAAAATATTCTTTTTAGTAGGTTCTGCCAGAGATCAATTCATCCCACCCCAAAATAGGCAGGACAATTTGCCCTCCATCAGCTGTAACGAGAGCCTACACAACCATCTTCAGGGACATCTGTGGTATTTGTGGGGCCTGGCCCAGAGCTCAGGGGATAACCCTAACTCAGTGTTTGCTTTCACTAGGACTTGGACTCGTAAAAGCCTAGAAACAGAAGTGATGGATACTCTCTTCTCACTCCCCTCTCCAAGTGACCTATTCAAGGTCACACTGAGTTGGCAAGCAGACCAGGAAATTATGTGCCCCAGCTGCAAGCCTTGTTTCTTCTCTCCTGTTTTTCTAACCATTTTAAACCTACCAGGAACAGATCAGCAAAAATTGAAATGAATGCCTGAGATTCCAAATGCTTTCTAATCTTCTGTACCATCAATAGTC